TTTTTTGGCTACAAACGCTTTTGATATACTTTTTGCCATTGCAAACCCCTTTCTTTTAAAAATGTCCTTCTCTCGCATAGCCTCAACCTTTATAAAAATGTAAATTGGTTATTTTATTGATCATAATTGTCATAACCACTCAATCGATTCATGTGGAATGGTACCAGAATCAATAATATTGATCGAACGGCGAGTTTTTTCTTTAGACAGAAAGGCTCTGAATCGGCGGTGATCGTCAGATGGCGCGGGCATTAGATAACTTATCAATTATCAGTTGGAAAAAATTCGTCGTAGAAATTCATCAAAATTGAGCTGATTAGCGCCCAATAAACAAGAATAAATAAAATGAGGGAAATCAACAGAAAATGCCAAAATCAGTAAAATATATAAGCGTGCCTGTGGCGTCAATCAATAGCTGGATGCGCCCCGCATTCGACTTCCATTCGGAATAGTGGTGGCGTTTTGAATGCGTATATGACCTATACAATGGCTTTGTGGCCAGCCGATGAACAAATCAGTACTTCCATTCTCTCAGAAGAGTCTGGTTCCAATCGATGGACTGTGGAGGAAACTTGCATGTTCTAGGGCAGTATCGTTCCGGGGTTTGAACCGTGGTCCTTGTGCATGTGATAGTACACCACATGCCACTAGACCATCTATGCACTCAAACGAATACAAGTAAAATAATGAGGGAGGTTAAAATAAATTCTTTTCACCACCTCATTTTCTAGGGCTAATTGTCTTCTCATAGCGAAAGGATTGCATTTTTTTGCATTAATTCCATTAGTCACGTACATTTTTCCTCTCAAACTGCTCTGCACACATCAGGCATCTGCCTATTGACATGGCAGCCGCTTTCGGTCTTTTCCAGAAATTTGACCTCATAATCCTGTTCAAATATTCGTCTTCTTCTGTGTCTGAGACAATTTCCTGCTTGCTTCGTTCCTTAGTATCCTATATTGATTGACTTTATTTCCATACAGTTGAATTCAGGATACTAGCACTAGAACGATGTGTAGCTTTTTCATCTATAGTGAACCGGGTGAAAAATCTTATGCCAATCAATATAAACAGCCTTAATCTTCTTCCTGACAAGCCAGCGATGCTTTGCCTTTGTTCCGCTTGTGAAGATTGCCGTAGGAATCGCGACAGAAAGTATAAACTCATTCTGACGCTAGAAACGTCGAGGTGATTGCCCGCGTCCATTAGCTGGCTCATATTACACGTGTTTGTGGAGCCTAAGGCTATATTAGGCGGGGAAACGCAGATCGGGGAGATACAGACATTCCAGTTCGGGAGTGTCCCACTTGTACGGGAGGAGGGCTAAATCGGTCGTGTTGTATTTATATAAGGTCCTCTGAAGGCTCTTGTAAATACCTTGAATTACCGAAGCAAAACACCGGTCAATGGCAATTCGATATTGCCAGGTTTTCGCATTATCCCTAATTCGAAGCGAATTTTCAGCTGAATCGAGCGTTTTTATGCATTTTTAAACTTTTGCACTTACCCACGCCACAACGGGGCAATTAGTATTTCGACCGATTCGGCACTTTCAATTAAAGGGAAACACTCGTGAGGAATAGGCGAAACTGGCAACAATTTTAAATCAGTGAAACCCATTTTCGGACCAACTCTGGCTAAGAAGTGCTTTCTATCGCTTTTTCAACTGCCGAGCTTTTTTTAAACGCTCCCATTTTACTGTAATCCTTTCTTCTGAATAATTTAAATCCGTCGCTTTTCTAACGTTGGCTCCGGTTTGTCCCTAAACTGATTTTGGTTGTTTCAGGGATGGGTCCCCATCGAATGCTGTACGCTGCATTATGCAGATTCGGTGACAAAGTGGTCTATCCGATTCTGCCGGCATTCGCTAAACCCGCTTGGAATCATCCCGCTGGGCCAAAAACCGTTTTCTTCTGGGCACCGACCATCAAATGGGCTCTCGTAGGGGCTGGACTGGCCGATCTTGCGCGTCCTGCTCACAAACTGTCGCCCTATCAGGTAGAAATTTTACTTTTGAATGAATAGAGAATTTTCCATTTTTCAAAAACGTTGTAAAATAAAAAAAGATAAAGGATTAAGTTTTTGGCGTTAATCAATCCCGTCTGGGGGATGTGCCCCACCTACTCGACTTCCATTCAAAATCGTAGTGGCATTATGAGTGCACATGTGGCCTATACAATGACTTGCGGTGGCCAGCCGATGTACAAGTCAGTGCTTTTATCCTCCCAGACGTGTCTGTTACCAATTCACCTACCCCGGAGAGATGGAAGGCTTGGTTGACCTAGGCGGGCATCGATCCGGGATTCGAACCCCTAACCGGCGTGTGATATAGTGCGCCACTTGCCACTACACCACCTCCGCCCGTTGTAAAGTATGTATTGAAAATATCTCAAAAGCTAGATCGATTTTAGGAAATCAGAAATCGCAGTTATGAAAGGGTAAGAGGGTTTTCGAAGTGCGAGATTAGCCGATCTTGCTGAGATTCCATCTCTATAGGGCGAGCCTGATGCCAGCCATCCTTTTTAGTCACTGTTGTTTTTGCAAAAAAAAAAAACATTGCTAATGTTACGAAGGATTAGACTGCCCAGCGCCTTCTTCGCTAACTCATGTACATACGGAATTAGAAAGTGAGAAGGGACGACGATTCAGCGATTTTTCGAGCTTGGAACGTTTTTGACGTAGTTTTGCTGCCGGCGTATAATTTCACTTACCCGGCTCTCCAGGGTCCAATCGAGGTATTTATCCTTTCAGAGTCAGATGACGTCTAGCAATTGACCTGGCTGTCTAGAAAATGTATAGCCTTGGAGAGGGATGGAAGGGGAAGGAGCCGAGAGGAGCAGACTACCGCGCTCGCCATTAATTTGTGTCTTACGTCAGACACCACTAGTTCGAGGGTATTGAATATTTTAATGAATTTCTCAAGGGCAACCCATATAAGTGTAGATATAATAAAAAAGGGGTTCTTATGGGCGAGGCAAAGCGTGCGGCAGTGGCAAGTCGATACCGCTCCAGGGTGCGCCATGCATTTGCTTTCTGTTTAGTTTGATGCTGGTGCCCATGGTCAATGCATACAGTGATTATGAGTGCAAGTGTTCCACCAGGATTTTCCGATAATAAAAGGCTTTGAATAGCCTAGCCTAAGTTCAATCCGTTGTGTAAATACATATATGGTATACCCAAAGGATCTAGGAATGGTTAGACCACTTTATCTTTATATCTAAGCCATCTTTCTCTCGAATTCTCAAGCTAAATATTCAGAATACGGCTATTTGCGCAACGGGTGCCATATGGACTCGATACTGTCTAGTGATAACACCTATCAACTACTATCTAAGTAGTGTGAACTTCTTTGTTATGTGTAGTGGATTGGTGCAATTGTGCCGGATCGCCCACTATAGGTATGCCGTATATTTCATTGTTTTGGACATTTTTTTTTTCGAAGGATTAAATTCTAGATACACCAATCCTGACTGGGAGCAGCAACAAAGTTCCCCGCAAAGCGAACAACAATAATAGGTAGGTAAACAAGGCGTTATTACTCACGATGGAAGTATTCACCGAAATTCGACTGCGTTTATACTCGATACATGGCAATCAGCAGCGGTCGCTTATCGTTTTTTTTTGAACTTCGATTGTAATTAGGTGTGAGTAATTCTCTTTTGTGGACGGGCAACGCAGACTATGAACACTTCTCTATGTCGGTTCTCGACATGCGCTCCTTCCAAAGAATAGTGTTCGAGTTGTAGCAGAGCGGAGCAGCTGATAAGCGCTGCAGCAAATGTTTCGAGTATAAACCCAATCGTGGTGCGGTTAAGGGAGGTGAAGATGGGCAGAGCTTGATTCTGTCATTGGTCTCTTGTGTAAGAACCAATGGGACAGAGGTCCGCCTACTTGCAGCTTCTCAGTCGCTTTGGTTATGATTTTTCCTTATTTTCTTTGTTTGCTTGTCTGAATTTACAGTCAACAGTTAAATTGCAGGTAACGAAATATTTCTAGTCCTCGAAATCTTGCCGTAGGCGCCACCTCACTCACTTCGGGATTCGACACTCGCTAATCAAAATGGTATCGGAGACCAAAAATAAGCTACTAATTATGTCTCTATGTTGATATTATGTAGATATAAATAAAAGAATATGGCCATTTGTTTCCCTCGTACTTGTCTTGAGTAAGATTATGCTTTTTGATAGGCTCTCTTTGCCTTTTGGTGATTTTATTTGATTTTGCTCAATTTCGTTCAGTACTAGCCCATGTAGGGATATCACAGTGAGCTCGCTCCGGTCATGGAAGATGAAAAGATAGGCATTATGCTCACGTGCTCACTGAATTTCCATAGTGAAACTTTTAGAGACAATAGTTTTGTTACAAAGTCCGAAAGCATTCCTCAGAAAACTAGAGGGAATGGATTTCACTAACACCGGCGCCTACTGGGTATAACAATGTCCCTCCTTGGGTGCTGGTCCTGGTTGGAACGCCTGACTTGGATACCCCGGGTGATGCCATTGGGCGCATTCATATCAGTTCGACACCTACAACGTCGTCGACTAATAACTCGCATTCGATTTTTTATTTTTGGTTTTTGATGTTTTTTCTGTTTGTTTTGTTTTACATAAAGCAGGAAAACATAGATACTCATCTGAAACGCAGCTCTGACCGTAAGCCTTACGGGCGGCAACCCCACAAGAAAAAATTCTGAGATAAGAAGTAAAAGTGGCAAAATAGTAAGCTCACGCGAACATAACACATTCGGGGACCGGCCATCGATACGAGGCGTTATAAAAAATAAACATCACGCCAAAATCTGCAACGAGCGAAGAGAAAAAGGAGCATGATCAAACCAAAAAGTCGTCCAGCATTATGAGTCATCCCTCCCACCGAAGGCACCAAGTATGAATGCGCGCCCATTCACCCGGCACCGGTGAGAATCGTTTTTGTTGCCCTCTTCTGAAGCGCCGCATGGGAGCAGATCGTTTCATGTTCGTCCAGTGCCTTTTCTGTCCCGATAGTCTGTGGGCTCATGTACTGCTACATCTGTTTCGTGTCAAGGGAACTTACCAATTAGGCAAAAGAGACATTAAGAGTTTTGTGCCTGCGACCGTACCCCGCCCCTAACCTGGTGTCACCCGCTCTTTTTCTTAGCGAAATTAGAGTTGTGAAAGGAAGGGTAAACGAACTGTCTCCCTGCCTCTTCTATTTGCTCTGGGTATTGTTCTGGGACAGGATGCTAGTTTATCACCCCTCAACAACTGAACAACCGCCGAGCACATTCAGATAAGGTGTTCCTCAGTAAGACTATAACAAGTACTATCACAAGTAAGAAGTAAAACCTGACAGTAGCGTTCATTCTACCTTTCACGCCCTCAGTGCAAGCTCGCTCCTGATTCCCTTAGAATCCTCCGTGATCATATAACTGACTGGTAACAGATTACGGTGAGTTTATTGTATGATTAAACATTTTTTTTNTTTTTTTTAACGAGGTCGCCATATTTTCACTAAATTTTTGCAGAGAATTTAACAGATGCTACCTCACAAGGCTCTCTATCGGGTTTTGTGCAAGATTGGAGATAGTGTTGTCTATCCTATTCTGCCCCCATTCCTCAAACCGGTGTGGAACCATCCAGCTGGACCGAAGACCGTTTTCTTTTGGGGCCCCACAATCAAGTGGGGTCTCGTCATAGCAGGTATCGCCGACCTTTCTCGACCGCCAGAGAAACTATCTGTCTCTCAGGTGAGGTGTTCCCTGAATGAAGCAGTTCCATTTATCCTATTTGAAGTAATACCTCATACTACTGGTTTTTGATTCATGCAAGCCGTCGCCTTATCTGCAAAATGTGGTGTATTGACTGAAGTGTAGTTGGAATGCTCAGACCGCGTTCATACTGCGCGGCAAATTGGCGACTCGGCACAGCACGCGCAGCACTTTGCGCGTATAAACAATACAAGAAAACGAGCCAAGGAGAGTAAATATTTCGACAGTTAATGGGGGATGGGTTGGTGTTCAATCAGTCCAAGCAGTAAAGCTCTAAACTGTATTGTGCACTCTATCATATATCCCTACATTACTGTTATTTAGAACGTCGCCCTTGCCATAACAGGAGCAATTTGGACACGATACAGTTTTGTGATCATCCCAATCAACTACAATTTAGCCAGCGTTAATTTCTTTGTAATGTGCTCTGGTTTGACACAACTCGCTCGGATTGCACAATACAGGTAACTTCTTGGAAAAGTAAAAAAAGTGGTTCAGGGGAAAAGCAGTAAGTTTTGTAGAAAGCAACCATCGCTGTGCTTTTTTCATCGAGGGAGGGGGTCTATGGTCTGCGAGTTTGCTGCCAGCGAACTGTGCAAAGTGGGCGTATTGATTGTCAAGGACGCGCTCCTTTGCGAGACGCGGGCAGCTAAGCTGCAGACTCCGAGATATGTCCAAACGATAATCTTGCAAGTGACTTAACAATAATGTTGTCTAGCTGAGCAAAGAGCAGAAGAATTAATATTTGGACATCTGACTGTCGTCCAGTAATGCTTACTGTTGCAGGAGCACTCATCCAGAGAATGCGCAACCTCAAACCACCACGGAAAAACATTAACTCAACAGACAACAATACGTGTTGTTACAATATTTAATCAAAATAAATAAAGCTTGAAAAAAGAAAAGACTTGTTTGTGGATACAAATTCTTTTATAAACTCTAGAAGTCTTGCAATAGGCGACTTTTCTCCTTGTTCCGATTCTAATAAAACGCGATGGGAGGCGCAAAGATGGCACTTGGGATCGTGCCGCGTGCGTTCACTTCGGACTATTGCCAATTATGTTACACAAACCATGGTTACGTGACTGCTTGAACTTTCTCTGCGTCCCCAACAGCGAAAGATCAGAGCGCAGAGAAAAATGTTCTGGGCGAAAGACACAGGGGTGGTGGTGTGGGTCCCACACACACCATCCAACAAACTTGCTTCGGGAATTGATACTCTCGATCAAATTTAGCTCTTGTTACTATTCAAAAGAGTTGCATTATGAAGTATGGAAAGAATCATTGACTCTAGTTAGGATCTCGGGTGTTCATACATTTGTACGCGTCTAGAACTGTCTACTCTTCCCGTCATCCCTTCAGGTTGTCCTACTTGTTCATGGATAAAAGATCGTGAGGTTGCTGAGTTAGCAATATGAATGCATTTAATTGTTTGGCATATTTAGTGCGCCCCGATGACAATATCGCGCCCGGGTCCTTTAAATACCGGTTCGTCAAGTATGGAGGGTCAGGGCGGCAATGTTAGTCTGTGGTTTATCCCGCCAGAGAATTTCGCCTTGTCAGCAGGCCAAAAGAAAGATTTGTCTGAGGCCTTGTCAAGGCTAAGGAGAAATAGGAGCTCCTCTTTTACAGTACTTCTAGGGGACTTCAATCTACTGTAGCGATATCCGAGAGCCAGGATTGATCGTGCAATTTCACGCTAAATCATCCCATTGAAATCTGGATTTCTTCTCTTTTGAGTTCCACTATCCTTGTTTTGATTATTTCTCATTGAGGTGCAATTGCGTTACCGCTCAGCTATGGCGACTATAACGTTATAGCCCGAAAGAATTTCTATTACAAAGATACATTGATACATTCAGGGTCTGCTGCGAGTAGCGATTGTGTCGAACCTTCCGAGGCAATGGAAGCGATTGTTGAAGTGATCGACATTTCGGATTTGTTGGATAGACGTCAATTAGGCGCCTTTATTGGGAAGAAAGGCTGCAATCTCAAAAGAATTGAGCAAAGTAACAAGGTATGTCGGCGTTCCCTTCCCTTTCGCTTGGATTGGTCTAGTTGTTGTAGCTAGAACAAAGTTAGAGGAGGACCATTGGTTGTGATTGATTTTGGGTCAAGCTTCTCACCCGAATTAAGGGCAGAGAGGAGTGTGGCTGTCAATGCTACACCTTCCCGGCTATGGCTGCCATCGCGTGGAAGTTTCAACGGTACCCTGCTCATGGTTGATTCCACTTTATTAGTTTCTAGTCTTATCTCGATTTGGGCATGATCTTTGCTTCAACAATAGGGTTGGTCCTCTCAACACTATAATTTTCATTTCAACGGTTATTCTATGAGTGACTTCCCTCAGTATGATTCTTAGACGCTCTTATTCGTCGGCTATACGGCTCTTTTTTATAATGCAACTTTGTTGCTCCAATGGAACCGCTGCTGTTGTTTAAAAATGCCTATGGAAGGATTATTATGTAATTGAAATTGTATGTATGAATGGGGATGGTTGAGAAACGCTTGAATTCCAAAAACCTCAACCAACCGTAGACGGCACCTGCTCTGGTGGTATGCCTTACGATTGTTTATGGCTCCCAGTAGCTCTCGTATTTTTTTTCAAATGAGTAAACCATTTCTCGTAGCAGTTTTCTTTACTATGCAATAGATGTGACCCAATCGAGCCTTTCCTAGTTTGNCTATAAAAAAGTGTATTCATAGTAATATATTCAGGTTTTCATGCAGTTAGAGCAGGAAAATGATGGCAACTCCGTGAAAGTTCGGATCACTGGTATGCCGTACGCTGTAGAAGCTGCGAAAATTGATATTTATGAATTATTGCTGGTCCTCATTCGTGGTTCATTCTGTCATACAACAAAGATACCAAAGCGATATGTTGGACCGCTTATAGGTGTAGTTTACCATTATTCGTATCCAAAATCAGTTTTAGTTTTCGTCTAAGAAAAGCACTAGAGTAGTTCTGGTTTATTAATTGATCTAGAATCCATATGATTGAAGATGAAGAGTTCATCATCGTCCATTTTCCGTTTTTTCTCAAACTGCAAAATTTAAGGTAGAAAAGGGACCAAAATAGAAAATATCAGACTTGTGACTGGTGCACGTATAAATATCGGAGAGACAGATAAAGATGGCTTCACCACTCTGCAAATATTCGGTGAGGCTTTTTCTAAGCATCACAGTCATAATCACAACATGAGCTCTTCTTTTGAAAACTAGCATTGCTCTTACTACTCAAGAGGTCTTAAGTAGATGTATAGATTTTTCAAACACTTAATCTCTAAAGTTTTTTCGTCGTTAATCAATCCCGTCTGAGGGATGCGTCCCCGCATTCGACTTTCATTCAGAATCGTGGTGGCGTAATGAATGCGTATGTGGCCTATACAATGGCTTGCGGTGGCCAGCCGATGTACATGTCAGTGTTTTATCCTCCCAGACGAGTCTGGCTGGTACCAATTAACCGACCCCTTAGGGGAAGGCGTGGTTGGCCGAGACGGATATCAATCGGGGACTCGAACCCGAGACCGGGCCTGTGATATAGTGTGACACATGCCACTACGCCGCCTCCTGAACCGGGACTATGGATCAAAGACTATTCATATCCTCACAGTTGTTCCAAGCTCTACTTATCGCAGATAGGAATTTTTTGTTTATAAAATGTGTAGAATGGTGTTCGTGACCACTACGCAGTAGCGCATGCTAGCCACTTAGTGAAGAGCAAGTAACTACAGTAGTAGGCAACATAAAGTAATGGGACTGTGAAGACTCAAAGGATTAGAGGAGAGGTTCGGGCCAGATGCACGAACATATGCTCTGTTATCAGGGAATTTTTTCAGTTGTTCGAAAAGGACAAAGAGCTTAGGTAATTTCACAGTGATCTGTACAATAACAAGTATACTCTAATGAACGGTGATTTATACCAAATCAGACAATGTTTTTAATTGATTTATTACTACTAAACATATATCTACTAATTGCAGGCAAATACCGCCAGATTGTTGCAGCAACCAACATGATTAAGGAGCGAGTCGATACAGTGGCAGCCTCGGATTCAGTCTACGACCGCCCAGATCGATTAGAGTTCCACGAACTATTGAATGAAGTAATCGATGATTATTAATAAACATTATGATTGGTCTGAATACTTAGAAATTGCTGTAATTTGAACGTAATTTCTGAAAGCAATATGAGGGTTCTTTGTTGTTACCTTTTTCTAGTCCGTCAGGATTTCGCTCTTACACTCTTAACATCGTCTGAGTGTATTCATCTTCAGATGTCAGCTCGCACCCAACAAAGCAAATCACACTTTTTGTGAACTGCCCAAAGTGACATAGAAGAACTATTGATTTCACGCGCATCTGATCGATTTTGGTTGACGGAGGGTTCTGCCAGACGGCGCTGCAACCAAATACATAGCCTTAGGTCAACGCTGGAATCGATACCCATAGTCGACTGTTGGGCATTCCATCCCTTCGGGCTAGGCTAAGACACAGCAGAAGCTGGCTTTTTAGGAGAGAAGCGCAGGTTCCATCGACTGGCCCAACGCATTGAAACGCCATAGCGATACTGCGTGGGAGTCAGATGAATGGCGCATTCCTTACGGGACCAACCAAAGTCAATAGATTTGATCCTTAGTTTTTTTGTGATCCATATTTATTACTACAGGAATATCTTCCTAAGATCTGATAGAGGGGAAAAACGTTCCGGCTTTTGAGCAGGTGAGGTCACTCAGGTTTTCAATCGCTGAACCGGAATGTATAATAAATAGCCGTCACGTCCTTTTAGAATTCGATAGCTATCGTAGTATTATTCCGCCGTCTTTGCAAATGCTGCCACGTCTGCAAATGCTCGTGGAAGTTGACGCATTTACGCACTGTTGCAGACTGCTGTTGTGCCAGTTGTTGAGCGACGGTGGTTAATTGCTTGTATTCCTTCTCACTTAATATTTGAACTCTCATCACTAACTAGCGAAGGTTCGGCTCGATCGGGTTTCCCTAGCTCAAGTGGGAAGCTCTCATTCAGAATTTTCTCGTCAGCATGATAACTTGCTTGTAAAAGAGGCTTCTGTGTGGTTCTGTTATGTTGTGTTTTTCACATGTTTTTTTTTGAATGATAAGCATTTTGCCCAAGTGATATAGATTCTGGGCTGTACTGATAAGTGCCGATTTGCCATCAAAGTCTTGTAGAACACCTTGTGTAAAGATCGCAACTACGATGAATTGATCACACTGAATTCGCCGCATCCCTTTTTCAGGATTTTTTTTCTGTATTCAGGGTGATGCTGCCTGTGGTGGTACGCCAGCTCGCACGAGGGCTTCAGCGAACTACAGCTGCAGCACTTTCTACGTCTGTGCCAGTGAGGCAGGCTGAGGAGAAGAAAAAGAAAGATCGTACGTTATTATAATCTCCAAATTAGATATCATATTCTGATATATGCATTCATAATCTCTACACCGGTTCTAGCAACTATCCACAAAATCGATGAGGAAAAGCGGGAACGTTTAGCTAATTTTGGTCGATATGTAGCAGAATGTCTCCCGAAATTTGTCCAGCAAGTGCAGGTCTGATTTTTACGAATTAAGTTGTTTCTCAGAAACCTTTCTCCCCTGTATAAGCTCATCACCTTTTCAAATGGCGATAGTGTAAAATGTAGGTTTATCACATCGTTTTGTTTCAGTTTGCTGCAGGAGATGAGTTGGAGATTCTTATTCATCCTTCTGGTACTGTTCCCGTGATGGCATTCCTGAAAGGGCACCACTCGGCACAATTCACAAACCTCACATTTGTATGTGGCGTTGATGTACCGACAAGAAAAAACCGCTTTGAGGTAAGATTTATCGCAATTTCATAAGCTTGCTCTAAGACTTATCGGAGATAGTCCCAAGCATCGTTGATTCAGGTTGTTTACTCTCTGTTTTCTGTTCGCTTTATGGCCCGTATCCGTGTACGTACTTACACCGATGAGGTAGCACCTGTTGATTCGATCACCAGTGTGTTCAGAGGGGCGAACTGGTGAGTTTTTTTTTTCAGGCTTATCAAGGCAGTTCGATTTTGATCAGCAAGGCACTTTCACAGAAAAGCTTATTCTATCCGCGGAAACAGTAAAATTAAGCGCTCGCAGTTGTAAAATTTGACTCCTTGACGCTTTGCCTTTACCCTAATCGGGCCATTGGCAACCCCGTTTGCTTTGTTAAGTGCTTGTGGCTTAAATCCTAAAAAGGAATTATATTGAACTGTGTTGGTGTCTTCAGCTGAAGGATCGACACCGTGACTACAAAACGTACTGAATTGTTCTATAGTGAAATTGGCGAGTTGTGATATATCCACTGAAATTAGGTGTTAAGGTACGAGCGTGAAGTGTACGACATGTTTGGCGTGTGGTTTAATAATCACCCAGATCTCCGTCGTATTCTAACTGATTACGGCTTTGAAGGCCATCCTTTCCGAAAAGACTTCCCTCTGACCGGCTATAACGAGGTCTGTTCATTCATATTTACTAGCTAAGGAATCTTCAGATCCCTATTCGTTTTCTTTTTCTGCCTCAAGCATTTTAATCTCTTCATTGAGTTAATGGCCATGAAATCTTATTCGCTTAGGTACGATTCGATCCTGAGCTGAAACGCGTCGTCTATGAACCTACAGAGTTGGCTCAAGAATTCCGTAAATTCGACCTAGAAACACCATGGGAAACACTGCCAGCTTTCCGTGACACATCAATAAGTAGTGGATATGAGAAGATAGATTTGAAACAAGAACCAGAAACTACCAAGTAGATTGTTTAAAGTGTTGTTATTTGTATGATAGATATTGTTCTTGTAGGGTGTAGAAGTAAACATTCTCGAATCACAAGTTTATTATCACATATTGCCAAACATTATGCATAAGATAACACAACACATGCACAACAACTTAAAAATGATGGCAAGGACTTAGGCGCATGGCGTCATCTCTAATTCGCTAACAGCTGTAGCGGTTTCTACCAGTTATCTAGCTGCGCGGCAGGCCATTCTAATATCACGCCCACTAGCCCAAGAATTATGCTCACATTAGAAATAAATTACGATATTTTGGATATGTCAATCTGTCTATGGAATGGTGTTTGGTATGGAATGGTCCTTGGTCAATGAAATTTAGATCTCTCGTCAATTAAGAATCTCTTAGCAAAATATAGAGGTAGAAAATCAAGCTGATTTGGTACAGTTGCCCCTCACAGAATTAGATTTCAAATGGCTCGTCAAGTAGTGGAGCTGGATCTCGATATGCTTCTGAGTGCATTTTATGACCAGTCAATTCCAGCAACGCTACAGCTTCAGGGTCCTGTAACAACAAGACCATCAACGTAAAAACATACAGTCCTGAATTGTGGGAAAAACCGACCACCTTATCGATTATAGACTTTTCGCTACGTTTGACATCCTCGTCGAAAGGTATTTGGGGTTTCTCACCTACACGCCAGACCTCAATGCTGCTGAAATATAATTTCAATGCCAACTTCATCATATGAATTTATTGATTCCTGAATAATAATAAGGCCTACACCATAAAAATGAATGACCTTATTTCGAACTGATCACATCCCGCAAGATGACACTTTTCGAATGAGCTGACATTAGCCATAGAAATCCCCTTGCCATAGTCCTCGTCAATGAAAAATGGCCACACCGTCTCATGGCCTCCAATACCCTTAACAAACACATGAGCTACTTCTAAGTAAAACTCTCAATGTCAAAGAAAACTCACCAAACCGTTAGGTAGGCTTACTTGTTGAACATTGAGATAAGCATAATCATTGCTTAGCCCAGTAGCGGAATGTATTCGTAACTGAGGCTTTACCTCAAATAAGAACGAAGTCGCATTTCCATGATAGTTCGGTCCCATAAGGAATCCTACGAAGAACAGATTTGTAAAGGCTGACGAAACAAAGTGAGCAGACAGACGAGTACCTTCAGAAGCAAAACAACCAAAAACTCGGCCGTTGGTTGAGTTAACCACCACAACGCAAGGTCCTTCCTCATTGATTCGTTTAGAAAGTTGAGCGAAGCTTGAACCATGTTCTACGCTGTAAACTCCAAAGCTATGTTTCTCTGATTGGAGTCTCCTTTCATCAGCGTAGCGGCAAATGAAATCATTTGACCAGGATATAACCAGCACAGAATATCTAGATCCAGTTTTCCGCAAACCAGTCCATCCTAACTTTCCCTATATGCCTTAACTAGGGTGACTTGAATCGTAGCTCTTCTTCATTTTAAGTAGTAACCCCTTCTACATGGCTACAACTAAACTCGATGTCACCTTCAAAGTCTTAGACACTTTCGAACAGGACGATAACTATTGTCGAAAGGCACCCAGTTCATTTGCCAGCCGCAAATACCTAGGAAATTCTGATACCCGTTCTTAACCTTTTATACTAGTAATGGTGTGGGGTCTTATTTAGTTATTACCTGGAAAAGAGTAATGTCCACTCCTTTCTTCTTTCGCTTGGTAAGTGCATGTTTATGACCATAACAGCACTGTGAGAGAGCAGCGGCGAGTTACATGGTGTAGATGGATGAAGCGGTGGACCTGAAATCAAAACCCAAAGTTCAACGACAGAATTGCTTGAGGATTCAGTGTGTACTAATAGGGAACGTGAAGGTGGGCGAGTGTAAAGAAGCCGATATTCAGTAAAAGGAGAAAAAGGCTTTTTGAATAAACAGCGGTCCATTTCTCTCACCTTTCTCAAAAATAAGCGGAGCGAAAACATGTAGTACCAACTGAGCGGCTACGGAATGCCCTAGTAACCATCGATCAAATCGTGCTTCAGGAGGAGCGTCGTGCATGAAGTACTCGAGTAGAGCAGATGAATCATTGTCGCTTAGTCCGTGCCGACGAGCGTAGACTGACACTACATGCTCCAGTGCCTGTAAACATAGTAACGTAAATAAGCGTAAATATCGTTTGAGGAAGTACAAATCCACAAATACCACGATAAAAAAAATAAAACGTCAAACATACTTTCGCTATCGTGCCGAACAATCTCAATAATGTTGCCGCCTGTGAAGCTGCGTCGCCTAGCACTCCATCAGCCATCAGAAGTATATTTGAAAATGGGCAACGACCTCCGTCTTCCGCCACATCGAATAACAGAGCGGTTACAGGTTGTAACTCTGCGTAAATCTCCTAAAAACGTATTTTCAGAAAATAGCAACAAATTTATTGATAACATTCAAGATAGTGGGCTTATGGCGTGAAGCGTGATTTAATTTGCAAGCCACCCGGAACAGCTACATGAGGTCAAGACGTGGGAGTCAAGGTTAAACGTGGACTTGAAGCATGAACCTTCGTCTTCAATCACTAACAAGAAGTGTCGACCTGAAAAAAGGTAAGCAGGTTCACTCTGAAGCCTACTCACTCAATATGAACAGTCCCTATAAAGAGTCAAAAATGATTCCTAGTCAAAGGAGTACTTACTACACGCTCAACCCTGGAAGGTGGATTCCAAAAAGGTTTTCCCGACTTTAATCACTACCAATCTATTGATAGAACGCAGAAATGATGACTGAAGACCCTCTCCAACCCTTTCATGAGCTCAAAAGTTTCTGAATAATCGAACGGTTAGGGCTAGGGACGAATCGAAATGTAACAGATTCAAATTTCTCACTTATTTGAAAGGAGCTGCTTACCTCGAACTGACGCTTGTTGAGAAAATCCTTTCCTTGACTCCATTTCTTCAGTGTTTCAGTCGTTCTATGGACTTGCTCTTTCGTGAGACTCACGATTTCAGGTTTCTTCGCTGACGTAGATGACTCTGCTCCCATACTGAACCAATGTTAGACATTTACAGTATATGAAGCTCGACATGATTCCAGCACGAAGTGGAGGTATAGATAGTGCATACATACCACGAACACAAACTTTCACTTACAAAATACATTTATTTCGAACAAAAAGGCAAAAATTGGCTTTGAAAATGCAAAAAGTGACAAGCTTGTTATTGGTAAAAGCGCGGGCAAACGTAAACCGTAACCAAAAAATGGATTATGGAGTAATTTGACGGAATAGATCAATACATATGATTATGAAGGGTGGTACTGATAAACACGTTATCAGGGCTGAGCTTGTTCTATCTGATTCTGAGACATGACATCAGCGATATTCTTTTCGAGGTCGTCGATGCGCTTCGTCATATCATCGATACGGCGGATTATCTGATCAGACATATGTTGGAATCTATCTTGAGTCTGTTGCAATACTCCTTGAATCTGAAATGAAAGTGACTTGTACACACAATTTCGTCGTAGTGATCAACATCATGATAAACAATTAGCAAATAAAACCAATCAATATGTTTCGTTTTCATCCCACTCTTCGTCTACCCTCTGAACAACTGGCTGAATTCACTCTTTTTGGTTGCCAGCCCAGTCACTTTGCTTCATTCAACTTATTCCGGACAATTGCATGTTCACAACGCCGGAAGTAATCCAGCTCCCTGAACCCTTTGGACAACATGGTGCTTTGGGTTCCTATAGATAAGCACGTTCCCATGCTAGCCGGTTGTTTATGATTTGGTCGACAACAAGTTATGTGTAACGGATAGAATTCGGTAGAAATGGTACAATAAATAGAAACTTTATAAACTAACCAACGATGTCAGTTCATTCAGATTGGTTACGTCACCAACTACTGGGTCTGTTGTGAGTGGGGCATCAGCTTTTTCTGACGCCATTTTCGCAGTGGACTCCTAAATCGATAAATTTTATGGGACGTGATCAACGAAGGGTTACGGAATCGAGTACGAGAACTGAGAACGAGGAAAAGAATTCATTGTATGACTTATCAGTTGCACTTGGTCACTCGCTCGACACAACAGCGGCAGCGAACAGACAACAACCCGTTCTACATAACAACAAACCGGTTTGGATACTGTAATCCTACAACTATTAGTTAATGCAACTAAACCGCACCCATCATATAATTCGCTTGATGGAACCCGGTGCCCAAAACTCTATTGGTATAAATTTGAGTAAAATCAAAGGTTAATGAGTTTTTTTTTGTGAAAACAAAAAGATTGAAGTCTTGGCAGATTACCAATCCTGATAACATTCCAATATGCAGCCCCTTTTCTCAAATACCATGCTAAGTCACGCAGTATAAACAAACATAGAAGGTATTCCAAATGACAAACAACGACCGTAAATAACTTGTGCCTAGCAGAAGAGGAACGTTCTTGAGATGTAAACAAAATAACAAAGCTATAAATAGTTCCAAACTCACTACCAGCGACCTGAACTTGAGACTTCGGCGCCTTGTTGTGGACGATCACCCGTTCCAAAGAGAGAGAGAAAGTGATATAATGATACCGATAAACAAGCAAACAGAAATCAATCACAATCAGGTGAAAATTCGTGAAAGTTTCAAAAATAGAACGCTTGGAGATTCTTTGTAGAGCTGTTCCTATCTCAAAACCCTCCAGAAAACTTGAAAGAGAAGTCCATCAGAGAAAAGTAGCTTACGTCTACCATTGAACCTTGCAGGGTGCAATACTCGGGCATTTGGTCCTGCACCTTTTACCACCTGGCACCTTCGTGCAAATGCGTAGAACAAATTTTATGGCGTCATATAAAAAGTAGCCAGTCGATAGCGAAATAGCATTAGCAACATTAGCCCAAGGAAGAACTACTTCCAAGGCCTCAGAATTGAAACTGCTACTCCCATGCACAAATTCAATGCTATGCACAGGAATCTGTAGAGCGTAGTCCATTGATATTAAGATTTTCAGAGAAAAACTTATTTGCGAGGTGTACTGCATTCACAATTCGACCACGATTCCATGAATTTTCCCCTCAAAACGATCGATCACTATGATTAGCATAATGCTATTATAGTGGTTGGAAAACGACGAGACATCCATGATGATCTGCTGTCACGAATGGACGCATTAGCGACGGAATCCCCGTANAGCGAAATAGCATTAGCAACATTAGCCCAAGGAAGAACTACTTGTAAGGCCTCAGAATTGAAACTGCTACTCCCATGCACAAATTCAATGCTATGCACAGGAATCTGTAGAGCGTAGACCATTGATATTAGGATTTTTAGAGAAAAACTTATTTGCGAGGTGTACTGCATCCACAATTCGACCACGATTCCATGAATTTTCTCCTCAAAACGATCGATCACTATGATTAGCATAATGCTATTATAGTGGTTGGATGGAAAATTGACGAGACACCCATGATGCTCTGCTATCACGAATGGACGCATTAGCGACGGAATCCCCTTAAGCTGCTCCACTAAATTAGTTTTAGGTTTAGGAATAAAACCCGAATTCAGGGGAGACACAGAGTCAGGTGTACAAGTGCAGTCATCTGCAGTAGCAAAAGACTCGTTCGCATTACGCGAATACGAGCCATCGACCACACTGCAACATCGGGCGCAGTTATGGTGCCTATATATTCTAGTCATGTGAAAGAGAATAAAGGTGCTGTTCATAGTTGGAGAACCGCGAAATCGCGAAGTATGCTACAAGCATTAGACATGCATCGATCGACCCCACATTTCTAAGGTTTCCTAGTATTCCAGGTCAACAACTCCCAACCAATCCTGCATTTTTACAGCTCTCCACTTCGACACGATCAATGCTGGTACTCACTCTATTCGTTTTCCTTATTACCTCTATCGTACATGAAACTCAGAGGGACGGACCAAAGATGTCGTAAGGCGCTAGATCTGGTAGCAGTATCGTCAAACGACAAAGATCAAAGGTCTGCACGCGAATTGGCCCTCATTTCTACAATTCAGAGCACAATTTTTCTATAGACCCCACTAGAACTGTCAAAGAGGAACATGATGTTTGAAAAAAAAAGACTCAAAGCAAGACAAGAACATAAAAGGGGACACAAACAACAGCCATAACTTCGAGAGACAAACTTTTCGGGATGCTAGGTCCCGCAGACAGGCTCATTACTACGTAACCACATCACTAACCAATAAACTCTAAAGATGCTGAGTCATCCGAAACGCAGTGCTAGGCACCACCTTTTTCCTGTAACGATCACGAGGGAATAGTTCTAACGGCACGGCAGATCTGTTTACTACAACAGCAGTTCGGAGTTCATAAAACCATATCCACCACTATGTGGATGTGCTGGAGGCCTCTGAGAGTTCAAATCCCTACCGTAACACTGAAAGTAAAATGATTATTGTAAGGAACTTTCTTAGTAAGCAGTAGTAGGGATCACTGCTGTCTTCCATTGGGTAAGGGTTTAGCGAACCTTCATAGGGCTAGGCCGAGACGAGACGAATTGTTTTTCTTGTACATACGTACATACATACAAAAATGTGTAGAACACATTGGCTTCTCAGTGTTCACTTCATACTTTGCGGTGGCTGATTGGCGGAAAGTGAAAAGTGAAAGGCAACAACCGATAGGCGATGGACGAGAGACAAACGGCAAATGACTTTAGCTTCAATCGATTCTAGTTCGAGGAAAAATGCAACATAGTTTTTGTATTTCGTCATCTGAACTATGAAAGTGCAAAGGATTTGATAAGCAACGATGCGAACAGTAAAAAATACGATTGACAGCCACAGGAATGAGGAAGAATGGGTGGGTGTACGAGCACACCAGAGAACCTTTGAGACTCGACAAACCCTTAGAACTCAAAATCATTGCCAACAGATGTTCAGATGCGAGAACTACGCCACCAGATGTTCCGATTTGGGTAAAGCTTCAATTTTGTCCACTATTTTTGCTAATACAGGTAGCTTTTTTAATGACCGCCCCTACGGCCGTACATGCAAGATCCTCCCACAATGTAGAACGATCATTTTGATTTCAACCTTTCTACCTCAAGGAGATGTACCCCACAATGGGCTTTGATCCTATTTTTGTAAAGCATGAGTGTTACCTACGATATAGAGTGGCCATAAAGTAAACTTGTAAATAAAATCAGGCGATTTATTTCCTTCATGAAAGTGCTGTTGCCAGTGACATGCACTTGTCAGCAGAATGTTGCAGAAAGAAAACACCCATAGGGCTGGTTGCACTTGGTCATGCAGAGGGATGCGCATGGACCAAGAAGGGCCTCACGAGGACAAATGAGGAACGACCGCACACGGCGGGATCGAATGGGACGTCGAATTCTCATTGGGGCGCGGAATTCCACATAAATTTTTCGATTTCATAACTCAATTTTCGGCATGTTTTCAAATCTATTCTCGTAGTGCTCGAGAGGTATACCTTCTCGATTTGCGTTATTGTCGACTTGTACTGCTTCTCTTTGTACTGCCTAGCTTCTGCTATCAGTCACACCCTTGCACGTGCTTCCACAGTCAGCGATTTTGTGATAGTTAATTTCTCCAGAATTGTCAGCCACATACTTGCTTATACCATCTTTGCATAAAAATTTCACAAACTATTTGTTTCTAAACACTCAATTTCATTTGGGGATGGGGTTGGCTGCATTTGAGTACTTGTTTTCCATGGTGATTTGTTGTTTGCTGATTCTATAGAAAACATCTAAACGCAACGCTATGATCGCTTTGTGAGTACCTAGATGAACGACTTGAAAAAAAGTGATGCCATCGAGAAGAAGGAATTCTTGGTGGCTGCTGCCTGGTGGCCAGTCTAAGCAGCCGTCGTGTTCGACCGCTGTCGCTTCATCGACATCCCACTTAATTTCACTTAATCTGTTTTATAGATGGTGGCGTCAGAGCTCATCACTGGATTCCCGTTGCCTAGTACAGGAAGTTCAGCAGCTCTTGCAAGCTCCCAACATCAGGAAGACGAAAAGCTCTGGTATGGTTTAAAATAATGTCAGCCCAATTCTGTGATGATGTCAGCCTTTGCACCAAGTTCTTCCTTGATTGCAAGTAAAGGGAAATACTCAAAGTAACGAAAGGCAAATGAGTAATCAACGCATATTGTGGTCTATCATTGATTGGCTGATCGTGAAAAGAGTTAATCATGTCTGATCTTCGCGTACCCCACAATTGCTCACTGACTCCTTTTTTTCTGTGAATCTTCCATCTTGCGTAGCTTACATAAAGGAGTCCTTTCTTTCATAAAATCAACTTTCGTTAGGCTTCCGTGAATTCTTAGGATACATGATATGCAGATAACAATCAGGATCTTTTGGGAGATTCTTTAATAAGAATAACATTTCCCTGATTAGGAAGATTCATTTCATGAAAGAATACTAGTTTTTATCTTTGTATGAATATATGATTTTGAGCAATTTAAAAACTTTATGCGGTTCTCGGACGCTATTTTCTATCGCATTGTCATGAAGTGCATGACAAAACAGACAAGTTTTAAGGCCAACAAAGATAGTAAAACACGCCTCCTCTTCATAATAAAACCGCTATTTCTTAATGCGTAACCCATAAAAGTGGTCACACTGTGTTTTGGTGAAACAAAATTGAGCGTACATTTTTATGCCCCTAAGCCCGCTTATCCATATCACTTTTTGACGTCTAATGGCCATTTTACATTCTTTTTAGGACTCGAATTCTATCCGAAGTTAGTTCGAAATCGTCGTCAACTTTGCAGGGCGGCACACTAATCATTCTTGGTACGTCCTTTGCCATTAATTCGAATTAAATTCAAAGCCGAAAATTCAATATCCAGGTGATAATCAGTCTGGGAAGTCGTCTTTGCTTGCTCGATTGGAGAAAAACGAGAGTCAAGGTCAGCGTTCTGCTCTCGAATATCACTTCCTGAATGTACAGAACGATTTCCGCGACGGCAGCTATGCATATCAGTTGGGTACAGCTGGTGCTCTTGGACCGGCAGAAAATTTCAGTTTACCGGTGAGCATGGTTTTCCAAACATTTTATTCGCACGCTCTGTCAAGTAGAGTAGTACTATTGAGGCTATAGCAATAAGCTGAAATCACAAAGGCGAGTCTGGTAGGATGTCCATTCTGTAGAGAAAATATCCATGCTTTGAGCTTTATTTGACTTTGTCAAAAACAAAAGCCGAACGCAGGCCCTCTATAATCTCACAGTGATCATGCATAGGCTGGGCCCCTTTCTCTTTCATCGTAACTTGTCATCTGTTGCGTCCAGTTCAACCATGAAATGCCTATCGGCTCCCAAATCTACACGCTTTTTGGAGGTTCCTGTTTTTATAACCAAAAAGTACATTTCACAAGGCTGGCAGCGTTGAAAAAGCTTTTTTCTTTCTACTTTATATATGTACTAGTAACCTTGTTTATGAAAAGAAATTGCTGAGTTCCAGGTGTGGATGTTGGATGGTGAAGAGTGCTTTGCTCCACTTATCCAGTTTGCTTTGCCATTGCCATCACCAGCCAAAACCGTTGTCCTTTTAACGGCTTCCATTGATAATCCTGGTCAGTTTTTTATTTCTATTTCTATTTCTGTTCACTCTGCTTCATCACCTTTTTCTTCAGGACTAATTCACTCAATTCGACGATGGGCTAATATCCTCACTCAACAAGTCATACAAAAGTACGACAAAGCCACTCTCACCGAAGCCAAAACACAACGTTAGTTTTCTTGACTTCAAAGTCTGTATTGAAACTTATTAACTTTGTTGAAATGGGTCTTATAGAAGAACGATTCTGGCAAGAATACGTCGAGCCTGTCGAATCGTCCATGACATCATCAATGGCTCCAGGAGCTTTGGATGATGCCGGTCTTCTCCCACTAGAACAAGGTGTACTCACAGAAAACTGTGGAGTAAGCTTTGTCGTGGTGATAACAAAAAGTGACTTGTGTAAGTTATTTTTGAAAGCTTCTGTTAGCTTCCGATGTTTCCCAGTTTCCATTATGATATGAAATTTTCTATGATATTTTCAAGAACGTAGGCGCTTCCCCTTTCGAGCCGGGCAGCCTAGCGCTTCTTAGGCTTTGCACTACTTTTTGTTCTTTTTTTTCATGTCAATTTTTTGCATCTGACCGAAAGTCCATTTTATATTTGACTAGATTCAGCATTGCCTTTCTCAATAATTCCATTTGATAGGCAATGAGATGACCGATCAACAGGCTGATCGTATTCTTGTACAAGTACGACGACTATGCCTTCAGCTTGGCGCTGCTTTGATCTACACAAGTGCAAAGAATGTGAAGAATATCCAGGTTTTCATTTAATGTCTTCAAAAGAACAGTTCTGCCTGTGGCTTGGCCACCGCCTGAGCGCGTATAGGAAGAGCTTGTGAGGAGGTTGGAATACATGTGCACAGTTCAGCCTAGTCGTACAGAGTTAAGTCAAAGCATATAGTCGAGAATGGTCACTCGCCTAGACCAAGTCTCTGAGAGGGAGGAAACGCATAGAACGCTTCTCCCTCTCAGAGCTTTTGTGCAGTGTTAGTAGTAAGTGGTTGTCTGCAACATGCAAGGTTTTTTTTTGTCTTAAGGTTCTATACAAGTACGTCGTTCATCGAGCTTTTGGTTTTCCATTTACAAGCACAGCTCAACTGATTGAAAGAGACTCGGTGTTTGTGCCAGCTGGTTGGGATGGTGAGAAGAAGATTGAAATTGTAAAGGTTGGTGATTTCACTGGTCTCATAGCGGTATTTTTGACTGTGTTCCAACTAATCGTTTTGCTCGTCCATAGCATTTTACCATGACTTTAATGTTGAATCAGAGAAATTGTATTAAAATCATACTAGCGTTGAAATGCTGTCGTGCTACATTACAACGCGCTTCTAAATGCAAATGCAGGTTTTCTCGCCATAAAAGCGCTGCTGACAAAAAAAAAANGGGGGGGGGGGGGGGGGGGGGGGGGGGGTTCTACATTATTTTGTGTCGGGCCTCATGGATGTGCGTGACAGCTCAGACATATAGTTTTAATATTTCGTTTCATATTCAGGAAGGTTTACCTGATGCTGATGGAATTCTGGAGCCAACAAGAGATAAGCCAATATTGCTCAGAGAGCAAGTAATCGAAGCAGAAGATGAACAGGTAAATTTTCTTGCGCAGTCGTCTGTAACGAAAATATAAACTACAACATGCAGGCATTCCTTCAACGTCTTGCTGCTGCCGAGAGTGCAGCACCGGCGGCCCAGAAGAAGTCGAGCATTCTGGATGACGCTACAGACAACAAAACCCCATTATCCAGTTTCTTCTCCAACCTTTTGAAGGTGGGTCTACTTAGCTATTCTCACTACTCATTACCGTATTTATTTGCGAATTTCCTTTTAGGACAAGCCAAATGTCGTAAAAACTTCCGTACCACCTGTTGATAGTGCTGTTCAATTGGATCGCATCCTGAAAAGTGCTACCGGGCAGCAAGGTCAAGGCGCCAATGACAGTTCTGCGTAATATGCTTGGTTTCTCTCTTTTTCAGTCATTCCCTTAAGTCGGTCCAATGCATGCATAACTAGTGGTTTCATCGCGCTTATACTATACTAATATTTAATTATTACAATATAACAGCTGGTAATCAGTTGCTTCTCGATTGAATGTGATTATTACATGTTTCAATGAGCTTTATTGGCTACAATCACAAATGAATGGCAGTAATTCAAAAGCGACAAGCGAACCAATAGAGAAATAGAAGTGGCAATGCCAACCGTGTGAAGCATATATACCCGGACGGCACTAGAAATATTTGAATCCCGACTATATATATAATTACGTGACGTCATAATTTTCAATATAACTCGTCGGGTTATTAAACGAATAAAAGGAGAAGCTCATCTGGTGGATAGGGACATTCTTTTTTGTAGCCCCCATTGACATTCCTCAATCGTAGGACATACGGTGGTTTACAACAAAATGAAACAACTATTAATCAACAATGAAGCGAATTCAACCCCCTGACAGTAGTCATGAATTAAGTCCGAGGAATTCAATAAAATTCTGGGGAATCATTGGGGTTGAAGAGATTTGGGAATGGGCTTTTCCATATCACCAATAACGATTGAATAATATGAGACACTCTGCAGTTGTGCAGGAAAAAAAGCTAAGGCATTGGCTAACAATAACAATATGGCAAAATTACTACAAATCTGCTCGGATAGTAATTACAGTCTACCGATCGAAAATTCTTGCCATATCAGCGACAGATCGACGATTATTCGCATTTTCATCGTTGGATTCACTTAACTCGGCAACTACTTGGGATGTAGCTGGAGTTAGTCCCATACGAGAGGCTGGTTTCGGAGGAAGAGTGGGAGCAGTAGTGGGTAGACTCCTGAAAAGAATTCTGCAGTTCTTGTTCTAAACGTTAACATCAAATGCGATCTAATCTGCTCAAAATGATGATTTGCCGCTGTAAAAGAACAACTGTATGACATCCTAGTTGACTAATACTATGGCACGGTAAATTTTTATGTAATATTCCATCGAATTGAAAGAACTTTTCAGAAATAACTCACTTCATTCGATGCGGTAGTGGGGGAGGGGAGTCGGCTTCCGTAGTAACTCGTGGGGAAGATGAAGGACCAGGTGAGCTGATACCGGTGTTATGAAGCGGAGGGTCTGGTTTGGGTGACATTGCTCGATCTGCAGCCGAACGCAGGACAGCTTGCGATAAAAGAGCTGCATCTGGTACCATGGCAGCGCGAAAACCGGCTCGTTCCGAGGGATGCTATAAAAGCTCGCTGATTTTGCGGAAAAACAGAAATCTGACACCTTTCTCACCTTTTTAGCAACCACATCGCCACCACCTCCACTGTCCTCACTCTTCGTCGACTGGACCTCCTCTTCAATATCGGTGCTTCGACTCATCGGTGTTTCCTCCAATTGCGGTTGCCGCGCTGAAGGACCAGTTTTGTAAACATCAGTTCAGGAATGATGGATACTAACTCACCATGTCCTCCAGAGCGTCTTTGCAACCTTGGGCGAGATTTCTGCAAATGAACCAGGGCCGACGGCTGTGGTGGTGAGTCAAGGGAAATGCCAGGCTCGTCCTCTCGTGTTGGCTGGGATCCAAGAGGTGAATGTAGCTCGCCAATAATGCTACGAGGCCTGTGATGTATCGAATCGGCGCCTCTAGAAATGTTAAAATTTCAATTTGAAATAAAACACATTAAACAACTTACCGATGCGAAATATTTGGTGAAGTGATCTGTCGAGGTGAGCCATTCTGTGAAGCACTTGCATTCGAAATGCCATCTAACCCACCGCTCAGCTTTTCAGCCAACATCCCACTTTGTTCGCACAATTCACGCCATCGCCAGTCACTGTAAGATGAACTTCAATAGGCAAGCTGAAACTCAACCATACCAGTAACTCGTGAAAGTGAAAACTTCCGTACCTCAAAACTCTCTTGAGATCATCCGACCACAGTTCCTTTAATCTACTGACGGCTATTCGTTCTGCCTTTCCAGATGTTTGAAGGGATTCTCCAGCAGCGCCACCGAGACAAGCAAAGGATTCTTGCAAATTGAGCTTACATTCCCGTCGTACCTGCGGAGGGAAGCTGTTAGACAAGCTTAGACAAACATAGATTGTTTTTCACTAGAGTAATTTATAAAATTTCTTGAACTAATCATGGCAGCAAAAATTGGTCGGAAATTCACTCTAATTTACCCATTCGGTACGTATTGATTGAGGTATCGACATAGCGAACCGTGATCGTTGTCTCTTATGCCCTTACTGACTTATAGATCGTATCTCCAGCCAGACCTATACAACACAAAAAAGAAAATTTACGTCATCGAACAAACCTGCTCAACAAAATCCTCAACCATATCATCTAGACGGTGTGGAAACGCTTCCTCTGTTGAATTATTCAGAACATCTCCCAGGCCATCCCATTTTTCCAAATTTCCGGGGTCTACTCCCTAAAAATCATGATTTGGTAAGTCTATATCAGTTTTCTGTTATATCCAAAGGTGTACAATTGTATTTATTCGGAAATTGGCAAAATCCGAGTTTGAGGGCGATCGATTCCTTTCTAGATTTGATTCTATTAGTGACATCGCCGAAAAGACTCGTAGCCGATCACATCCAGCCCTTGCTAAGCATTCACAGACGTCTTGAACGGGATAAGGCAATGAAGTAAGAGTTCTGTTCCTAAAGAACTGGGTTTTCAATGACGACTTTTGATAACCGAAATATTCATAAGGAGAACACGTACATGCTCAACGCCGCTGCAATGTCAGACAGTCCCTCGACACCCAAGTGATTATTGTCGATGATTATCGTTCGCAAGGAGACATTCAGTTGAAGAGCCTAGACTGCCGTGATGACTCAATGTTATACAACTTCGTCCTACTAGTAGAAACTTTACAATAGCAGAGAATGCCTATCTATCGAGCAAAGCATCGACTCTAGCAAGATTGATTACGGAGAATGTAAAAAATCAAATTCGAGCAAACCTTTGAAAGGATCCTTGCTCCAAAATGTCCCAAATCATTATTTGATATGTCAAGAAGTCGAAGTGATGTTGTTGCTCCGAGTGTGTTCAGAAGGACACTCAGGTGAGGCCCCAGACGTGCATCCGACAAGATCAACTCCTCCAGACACTGGAATGTAAGAGCCCAAATTTAATCATATCAATCAAAGAATAAAACAAATAAGACGAAGAACTTACGCATAGGGAATCGTCGGAAAACAGTTTCACTATATCGAGAATCGTTTTGTTAATAATCGAAGCATGGGCTTGTTTCGACGAACGGCGCAGGGCTATAAAATTTGCACCACCCAAATCAGCCCGGCGTAATGTTCTTATATTGCCAAGGGCATGAATAACAGCCTATAAAAGTAGATTGATAATAAAGGTAACCATGAAATGTTATAAAAAGTATCCTAAATAAAGCTGTAATCCAATTACCTGCATTTCAGTTTCCAAGTTGTTATCCCTCAGGGAAATGCTGCTGCACTGAACACCTCCCAGACAAGCTTCCAACACAGGACTACAATTTTTCTCACACGTACCACTTATGTCCAAGTGGAACGGCTTCAACTAAAAAGTAACAGTCAATCGATTCAATCCGTTTATAATAATTAATAATAATAATCAAATGAAATGCAAAGAGAAAACGCAAGAGCTAAGTACCTGTTGATTACTTGCCAGCCCGAGAAGCATAGCCTTCATCAGCTCTGCCGGTAATACTGTGTTAGTGAAGCTAATGACAGATAAATTCACAGCCATTGAGAAGAATTCTTTGACTTGCTGGAATTCCAAGCTCGAAATCTCGCAATCTTCAG